TCGTACGTACCTCTCATAAACCCGGGCCGAAACTCGTACGTTATTTAGGGTTTGGGCCGCAACTCACCAACACCGTTCGTTCGCAATCGTGTTATAAAAAACGTAAAACGTTTGCAATTGTGTTATACCCATCCAAGTTGGGTCTCAAGTATTARGGTTAGGTACTAAACTCGCAGGTACTAAACTAGTTGGGTCGGGATTATTTTAAGTAAATAACAAAGTATTTTATGTAGATATATAATTCAAATCAAAAATGTTGTCATTGACATTGATTAGCTACCTACCTATATTTGTAGTTATTACTTTTTTGGTATTTTTCGATATGAATTATGTCAGTGCCCAATTGGCCATCCTAAGATTATCAATATGTATTTTAAAATGAGGAGCTCAGAAATAACTAAAAAAAAGGATTTGTATTATACTTTTTTTTTTTTACTTTATTAATAAATACACAATTTATACGCAATCGGCACAATAAGAGTATGAGCTAATGACAATGACAATATAATGAAATTTTGAATGAAGAAGCCACCCACCGATGACACTTACGTCTTTAATTATTTTGTTTTAACTATAATATTATTATTATTATTATTATTTTTTTGTTAGGGATTAAGTAGGTGTCTGCACCATTTACGCTTAAGGCGACGAGGAGGGTTACAAGGAATGGTTAATGAAGCTAGCTTTTTTATAAGTTCGTTTGAATGAGAGTTAAGGCGTAGGTGGAATCGTTCATAATAATATTTTGCCTCTTCCTGAATTGTTTTCATGTGTAGAGTGCAGGGAGTGATTTGAAACATATGGTGGAGAGTTGGTACCTAATTTTCCTTAGTATTATACTTAAGGAATAATTTATGAAAAATAAAATGAATAATTAATCGATTTGATTTTGTAAAATTAATACCTTATAAACTTTTACCAAAACACTTGTGATTTTTCAAGAGGACTCTACACAAACATTTATTGTCTTCGTCTTACAAGTGCATTACATAACAAATGTATGCTTAACAGATCACGTTTAGCTCTGTTAATCTAAAAATTAGAGTAAATTGACCTATAATGAAACTTGATGTTAAAAACATTATCTGTGTTTGTTTGTGGGTTCTTTAAGATAATTCAATTTTGTAGCAAGTTTTTAGTATACAAAAAAACGTAAATTAAAAATGCTCATAACTCACTTTAAAATTAAGGTATTGTAAAAAAMCCACACACAAACACAGATAATGTTTCTAACATCAAGTTTCATAATAGGTCAATTCATTATAATTTTTAAACTAACGAAGTTATACGTGATCTGCTGAGCGTACATTTGCTATGTTACGCACTTGTAAGACGGTCAGACGGATACACCAAATATGCGTCATGCGTGTAGCGTCCTCTTAAACAATATTTTATCTTTAATTATATTGTGTTTTTTTTTTAATTATAAAATTTTTAATATTTTTTCTTTGATTTGTATTGTCATTTATAATTATAATAAAATTTGAATCATTTATATTTTTAATGGCAAAAAAAAAATTAAAAAATAGATCGTAAATAATTTTTTTAACCTTATATTTGGTCTAAATGGATCATAGACAGTCCAAAGTCTGTTAAAATGGGAAGAAAAATGATATTGTGTGGTACTCACCAAAAAAAAAAAAAAATATATATATATACAATAAATAAATAAGGACCCAACTATAGTGTTGTGCCAGTGAAAATCATCGAAATATGAATACACCATGTTAGGTTTTATTAATATTATTATTTTTATTACAACATGAATTATAAATATTTTTAAATTACCTAATAATTAAAAATGATCCAAATATACAGAGTAAAATAATTGTGCATTCCAACTCGTTAGGCCGAGATTTATATGTCACACGTTTACTTAGTTACTTTTCAAATTAATAAAGAAAAATATGCAAATGTATTTACTTTTGGGCCTTGCATTTTAACCTTTAAGAGGTCTTACATTAGATTATTTTAGAACTTTATAAATTTAAATTTAAAATATATTATAATTATTACATATTWTAACATTATATTATTGATTGTTGATATAATATAGGCACTCAATATTGGTTAGAATTTCACTATAAATTCATATTGACAAGTAAACACTATTTATGAAAACAAACTTTAACTAGTAAGTACATAAAATAAAATCACATTTAAACATTTTCTACTTTTACATTGTCAAATAGTAATTGTTATATCGTTTGATATGTTCTAGAAGGTGTACGTATTATTTCGTATCATACCATAGATATACCAAAAGAAATAAGTGTGACAACGTCTGAGAAAAGTCCAGTGGTTACAAAATGAGCAATCTAACTGGTAGCAGTCAAAATCAGATCAGTAAGAAACTACATCCATGCAATGTATGTGACAAGTCGTACAATCATCGCAGTAATCTGGCTGTACACATGCGGGTACACAATGGTGAGCGACCGTATCAATGTGGCATATGTGAGAAGGCGTATGCCTCTAGCACATCTTTGAAGAAGCATCAAGATTTTCATGCGGATATAAGATTCCAACCATGTAACATATCATTTTCCACTAAAAGAAAACTGGAAGAACACCGCTGGAAGCACCTGATGCCTAAAACACCAYACCCGTGTAATACCTGTGAAAAATCGTTTACAAAAATAAGTTCTTTGATGATTCACCAGCGGGTGCACACGGGTGAGCGGCCGTATAAATGTGGCATATGTGAAAAAGCATATATCTGTAGCACATCTTTGAAAAGGCATCAAGAATTACACATGAATAGAATATCGTATCCATGTAGCGAGTGTAATATGTCATTTTCCACTAAAAGAGAATTTGAGGAACATCGCTGGAAGCACGTGCCTAAAAAACCATACCCGTGTAATACTTGTGACAAATCGTTTAAAAAAAAAAATTATCTGGTGATACACCAGCGGTTTCACACAGGTGAGCGACCGTTCCDGTGCGACATATGTGAAATGTCGTTTACCACTAAAAAAAATATGCAGGTGCACCGGCGGAGGCACACAGGCGAAAAACCGTTTATTTGTGCCATTTGTAACAGGCCGTTTGGAGATAAAAGCAATATGAACAGGCACATGGCAATACACAAGGATGCTCAAATYCTGTGTCCATTGGATGTATGTGAAGTATTGTTTAGTAGAGACGAAGCTGGCGAGGAGCTGGCAGACGCGCCAGTGGATGAGATCGTATTCAAGTCGTTCTCAAATAAAGGGAACTAAATAATATAGCAATAAGAAAAATAGTTAAGACGTTGTTAATCTAGTTATATAATTCTGGTTATTGAACAAAATAAGTAGTGTAGCTTAAATGTTAATAGTAGAGGCATATTAGTAGAGATTGTGACGAAGGCAATTACTTGGCCAAAGCGTGTAGGTTTTTAAAAATGTTGTTAGTTTTTATTTTTTCATACTTGAGTTTTTAGTTTCATGCTGAAGAGTTCTGTGTACATAACTATTAATAAAAATGTTTATGCATTATTAATTCATATTATATTATAATTACTAATTACTAATAGGTACAGTTAAATATTGTTCCATTCAAAAAAATGTAGACTATTTTTTTGTCTTTATAAATTGTAAAAATGTTCTATTGTCTATTGATAACCTTTTGAGATTATCTGTGGTTACAAATGTATAATCTTTATTAAACTAGCGTATAACATGTATCACCTCATATGTTTAGAACGATTCATTTAAATCAGTTATTTTTAATATTACGGTGTATATTGATCTATATCATCAAATTTATAACTTAGATTTTAAGCCTTAGTATATTATTTAAGATTTAAATTAGATAGTATTTTTTGATGCCTTAATTTAAAAAGTTTGTTATAAGGTTTTTAAAATTGTATTTTTTTTTTTTTTAATTTCAAACTAAGTACTTGCTTTAAAATTTAATTTTCAAAAAAATATTCTATTAACTATAAGCAGTTAGAAGCAGTAAGAGACGTTTAAAGTATTTTTACCTTCCAATTTAATGAAATGTATACTATAATTRATTATAATTATAAAAATAACTAACATAAATTTAATGTGTTATAATTTATATATATTTTGGTAGTATCGATAAATTCTGAACGTAAAATTGTTCATGTTATGAATTTTAATACACATATTGGTTTGTGGGGGAAGGATTAACATATTTATATAAATTGTAATATCTAATTTTCTTATTAGAACTATGTTCATAATATATGACAATTACATAAATATTTATTAAAATATGTGAAGTAAATAACTTGCTAAGTACCTATTTTGTTTGTCATATGCACTAATTAAGTCAGAGAGTAATCATAATTCGTAGTAATACCCAGTATTATATAACACGTATTTTATATTAAACTATCTTTATTACTTTAAGGCAGCTGGAGTGGGCATGTTTCATTTAAGGACTAAGGAGTAATATTTAGCCATTTAGGCATTTYATGTAGCATTTATATTCGAACTGTGTTTCAATGTGAGAAGTAAATTAATGTTAGTAAGATTAATTTATGAAATCGATTACCAAGCACCGATAGYTCATTGCTGAATTTAATTTGCATAGACACATGTAAAATACCCATTTACTTATAAAATTAGAAACATTTTTCTTTTCAAAAATAGTGTCAGTGACTYCAATCACCACGCTTAGTATGGTGTTCAAATTTTAATTTGAAAATATATTTTAATATTCCTCTAAATTTACGATGCTATAACTTTTGTAATTTTTCATATTCTATATAAAAGTATTTAAATACGAATTATGAATAT